GTCTGTCAGAAGCCCTTGTACACTGGACCTTTGCTACAGCTGCAATGTACAGAACTGAAGAAGAAAAAGAAACAAAGATGCAAGTTGAACACATCTGTCTTCTCTTATAAAACAAGATGATGTTCCTATCACCTTCACGCTGTCTTCCTTCTATGTCTGAGACATCAACTTACCCTCATGTCACTAAGTTAGTTCAGCATAAAATGAAGCAGCTCAATAAAACTTTAGCAAAGTGCTGCTATGTAAATCCCAAATATTATGATCTATAGGATTATATTCAGAAAGTAGTATAGAGTTTCTAAAGCAGAAAAATGAAGTTTGGGCCAGCTGTCCACCATCTGAGATTTATCTTTCTCAAATAATGGCCAAATTAACTTCTCTAGTCACTTTAAACTGATTTACATAAGCATGCTGTGTTTTAGATCACAAAATAAAGGTCATGGTGATCTTCTCTAATCCGATGAAGATGTATTTTTATTGTTGTAATTTCTAGCAACAGCTAATTGATCACCAAAAAAATTTGACTTTGAGGAATTATGATTCTCATCTAGTGGCAGATTTTTCTACCAAGTCACATTTGGCAATGTCTAGAGATTAATTAGCTTGGTTTTTTAAAATTTTGTTGTTGTTATTGTTATTGATTTTTATTTCCAGTGCTGGGAATCAAACTCAGGGCCTTAGTCATAATAGGTAAGTGCTTTTCTGCTAAGCTAATACCTCCAGTTCTGTAGATAGTTTTAGTTATAACAAATAGATGGATCATCATTGCTGGACCATAGTAGGGAGAAGTTAGGGATGCTGCTAAACAAAAATGCACATGATAGTCCTCCCACAGCAAAGTATTATCCCGTACAGAATGTTATTATTGCCATATATGAAAAATCTGTGATAGAATATTAGGAATGAGTCTAGGCTACTGGCATAAAAATATTCAAGTAGTGAGCTATTGCAAAGAAAATTTCTCATTCAGAACCTCTTTTGCAAAATTGCATATTATTATAGCAATTGCAAATTATGAGGAAAGAAATCTATATTTTAAAAATCAAATTTAAATTAATTTTAATAAATGATAATGATTTTAATAAATTTTAATAAGTTAATAAAATTTTATTAATTTTAATAAATAAATTAAGAAAAATGTTGAAGACTTTATAAAAGCATAGTGCTATCCTTAACATAAGGTAAAGAATTGCAGAGTAAATCCGCCTCTCCAGTATTAATTCCCCAGTCCCTAGATGGAGACCAAGCATTTTAAAGTTAAGACAATGTGTATTATGTGACACACAACTTATTTTCCTGTGGATAGTAGATTGCACGTGTGTAGTGTCTATGATATGGATGTCAAATTATCCAATTCCACAGCATTCTTTTCATTTATTGAAAAAACAGAGTGCATGACAAGGTTGCTACATGTTTGGGAGCAGCTCTGAGAGGGATGTAATGCATTCTGAAGGCAGCTCTTCCTTGTAGAACTGTCTCCCATCTGTGCAAAGTCTATCCCCCTATTCTTTCTGGCAGTTTCAAGACATTGCTCTGATTACATCAAATGATGCTCCAGCTTCTTACTCTTAGATTTTAGTTACCTGATCTCACTATAAACACAAATAACCGGGAAAAAAATCTTTACCTTTAGTCTTCTTAAATGAAGTATATTATGTAGTCAGAAAAAAATCACATCACTATCACACTCAAAGTGCTGCATTGTCAACCACAGGTGCCAAATAAAAATAATTCCTAGACAATCAAATATATAAACAAAGAGACAATATTTATTGTGGAGTTTTACATTTTTTAATCTTTTTTTTTTTTTGTACTGGGAATTGAACTCATGATCCCGCACTTGCCAGGCAGGCACTGTGCCACTAATATCATGGGGCATATCATATAAGATGAAAAGGTAAATATTACCTTCCAGTCCAATGGCTTAGTGCCCTAGAGAACCATTAATGTTGCTTTTGCAGGTCTACTAAGTACAAAGAATAGTATACTATTCTCTGATAGCAGTATACACATCTGTCTAATTTATATTTATCAAATACCTTCCACCTGTAAATGTTGTACTGAAGCTATACAGCATGTAGTTTCTACAAATAATTGGAAACATTTTACTTATGACAGATCAATTTATGATCATTATAATAAACAAAAAAGAATAAATATGTTTCATTCATTCAACATATACAGTTATTCCTTGGTATCTGTGAGGTGATGATTTTGGGATACCCCCTTACTCTCATAGATAACAAACTTTGCAGATGCAGAAGCTTCTTACTCCATATAATCTATATGTATCCTTTCATCTAGTTTAAATCACCTCTAAATTGCTTACAACTAATGTAAATACTATATTAATAAAAATACTTTTAGTAAATGATGTATGGTATATTTAATACAGATACAATTTAAAAAGAATATTTTTGATCCATGATTGATTAAATTTATGGACACAGAGTTCTGACAATGTTTGTGAAACACCTGTGTGTGTTCATAGTTACACAAAGTAGGAAGAATAGTAAGACTTCTTATTAATATAAATAATTTTTTATCTGAGTAAGACATACATAAAGGCTCTCCAGGATGAATGGAACAGCCATGATGGACAATGCAGTATAGCACTCATCTATCTCAACCTCCTTCTGCTTGGCCTTTTCTGTCCTAAATGCCTTTTGCCTAGAATCCCTTGCAGCTAAAGTATTGAAAGTCAGTTAGACATACTCACCACAGGCCAGGAGAGAAGACTGAAGGGCAAGACACTTCCTCGCTTCATCAGTTTTCTGCTAGCAGTTTCTCACGGACCAACCATGAGTTTCACAGAACTGAAAGGTACACGTACTACAGTGGCAAACCACAGATTTCTCACCCTCAGATCAAAGTTCCAGTTAAATTTAGTGGATCCCAAATCCTTTGTTGTGGCAAAGTAGGCAGGCAGTTTCCACAATGGGCCAATTTTGACATGTGATTTCTGCAGGCCCAGCTAAGAGGCCATAAGTGTATCCCTTCCAATAATTTCATAACTCTCTGTATCCCATTCTTTCTTATTTCTTTATTTTTTGGTGTAGGGAGCTCATGACCTTGTACATGCTAAGTGCATGCTTTACCACTAAACTACACCCCTAACGTCACACATTAGTTTTTAAAATAAACACTTTTTGTTCCCTACAGCAAAACTCTGGCTGAAAAATGTAAACACACGGTCACACACACACACACACACACACACACACACCAGATATAAGCCCTCCACGATGGAGGCCAGAAGAGAAGAGCCAGGACTCATTCACCAGTGTTTATGAATATGAGTCCAAAGGAAGGATTAAAATCTGTGAGGGCTGCTGTGTTGGGTAAAGTATATTTCTATGTCCACGTCTTTCTTGGAATTAAGGAGACTTTGCAAATTTTGTGCTAGGGAATGACAGAGTAATAAGACTCTAGAAAATACTACACTTTGTTCATTTTGTATTCTTGTGTCCAGCAAAGTACACAGGACGCTTAATAAAGATTAGATGCAAATTAAGGAGAGAGAGGCTGAGAGCCATTGGCATAACATAGGCATGAGTTTAAAAGGGGTAGCATGGAAAGTATTTGAACAAGACTTATTGGGTATTTATGACTATATTAGCCAAGGCTCAACCAAAGAAGCAGGTCCAGTATAAGATATGAAGAGACTGATTGCAAGGATCTGGCTCGTGTGATTGTGGAGGCTAGCTAGCAGGTCTGAAATCTGTAGGGCAAGTGGTTTAAAAGGGCAGACTGAACCTTAGGGCTACAGGTGGAGGCTGCTGCCAGCGGGTTTCTTCTTCTTTAAGGAAATCTCAGCTTTGCTTTATACAGCTTTTGAAATCATTGAACTACGCTCATGGGATTACCCAAGTCAACTGTTTGCTTAGATTACAGGTCAGTGGTAGGGTGTATGCTATGCTTGGCATGTACAGGGTTCTGAATTCAGTCTCTACCTTGAAAAGAAAAAATACAAAAGTCTACCGATTATAGATTTGAATTATATCTACAAAACACATCACAGCAACACCCAAGTGAGTATTTGATTGAAAAATGAGAGTGCAGCCTAGCCAAGCTGACATATCAGAGACCATCACAATTACAAGATGAAAGAAGAAGTAGGGGAAAAGGGCAAAGCATAACAGCCGCTGCCTCCGCGTTCTCTCCTCCTCTCTCCTCTTCTTCCTCTTCCTCTTCTCCTTCTCTCTGTCCCTCCTTCATCCTCCTTTTCCTTTTTCTTCTTTTTTTCGGTAGAATTTTGTTGTACTGCCTGGTTGGTCTCGAACTTGCAGGTTCAATGAGTTCTCCTCCTCAGCCTCCCAAAACCTGGGACTTGAGCCAGAGGCCACCATACCCAGATCGTCTATTCTTCTTGATGACCCAACATATTGAAATATTCAAAGCTCAAATTGTAGCCTTTTCCGACTTCTAAAATTGGTAGAAGTGACTTACAGCTGAGGCTACTAACAAATACGATAACCTCGCTTTTAAAATTAAAATAACCCAATAATGTATCCAAGCAGAGATAATATTACAAATATAAAGGTGTGCTTTGAATAATTCTGTTAAGACAGGCTCAAGCAACCTAAATATGTTTCCTCATTCAGTTCAGAATGCTATTGGTCCATCTTTTAACTCACATGTAAGGTACCTGCTAACCATTTTGAGGGTCTTCAGAATTAAGGGGGAATCCCATTAAATCTAAAGCTTTGTTCACTGTTCAATATATACACGAGACAATTTTATTGATATTGGAAGATATTTTTAAAACAATGACTTGTTTTCTTGAATAAGTTGATTGTTTATAAGTGGAAATACTACTGTTGCGAGGACTGAACCCAGATGCTTGCAAAGGATGTGCTCTATCCTGAGCTCCAATCAAAGCCTAGGATTCTTTTTAAGGAAACATTTAAAGGATAAAAATGGTGAACAATTATTTATGCCTTCATGTGACCAAGGAGGCAGCAGGGTACACCAAGAACTTAACTTCTGAGTACACCTACCTGGTTTAAATCTTAGCTCCTTTCCTCTTAGTCATGTGAAATTGGAGAAGCTGGTTAGTGTCTTTATTCTTGGTTTCCCTACCTATAAAATAAAGGTAAAAAGAAAGCCCATTTTAGGGGAGCATTTTGAGAATTATATAAAACAATGCTCATTCAAAATGGTTGACACAGTGCTTTACAAATAATAAATTTTCAGTAACATGAGCTAATACTGTTATCATGATAACAGCTATGTAATCTTTGAACCAAAACATCAAATAAGACTTTTTCCAAGAAACACAAAATGCTACCCATGTATTTATTTTTCTGACCACTACTATTTGGTAGTATTTTATTTCTTTTAAATGGCATGTCTATTCAAATTATATTATCCTGATGGCAGCAACATACTCTACCTGGAAATATACTTATGTGACAGAATAACCTCTCCCAAGGCAATGTTAAGCATCCTTCACAGTTTCAAAACCTTTCTCATAAATGTGGCTTTTATCCACGGAGTATAATTATTGAATATAGCCGCATCATTTGCAGGCATGATTGTAAAGCAATAAAAATAACCGTGTCGGAATAATGACATTTTTGAGATTTCTTCTGAGAGAAAAACCAGCAAAATCATAGCCCTGCTCAAGCTTACTAGAAATGATGGGAAATAAAATGGCCTTCCCACTATGCTATGTAGTTTATGAGACCATCTCTAGACAATTCATTAGTTCTAAAGTGACACGAAAAATCAATTAATTTTAATGGTCGATAACAGATTACAGTATTTAATAGTTCATCTAATTTCATGAGGCAAAGTGAATTAGACAAAGCAATGTAAATCTAATAAGAGTTGCGAGAGCTCATTTAACTGTTTGTCAAATGCAAAAACGAATGGGCATATCAGGAATTAGATATAAACTAAAGCATTATATAAATTGTGCTTAGTTTATATACAGAATTAAGTTATAATCCTTAAGGAACATAAAGCATATGTACTCTGTTCTCCTTTATCTTACTCTTACCTTCCTCATTAAGCACTTACTGTCTAAGTGATGATGTGTCTGCCCAAGAAAATAGCACGTAACAGTGTCTGCAGTCTCCCTGCCCCTCCTCTTTTATTTTTTATAAAAATAATTCGAAAATTTGAAGGCATTGGTGCTAAGATCTTCATGAAGTGCTGTTTATGAACAATCAGATAAAGACCCAGATTCTCAGTTTCCATTCTTCTGTGTATTAGTAAAAATAGCCTAACTTCCCTAATGAAATAGTTTTTATTTGAAATAAGTCTGCGTTAACTCAGACAAGTAATGGCTTCTTTGCAGGTTTGGCACTGTTAAGACTTTTGGCTAAAACCCCCTCTCTTCTCCAAGCAACTCAATTTACAGCCCAATATCTACCCCCAGGAGGACAAAAAGTACAAAGGCAGATTCACTAGAAAGTTCCTTTTTAAAATGCTGTTAAGTGGTGGCTTTGCAATAGTTATGGTGCTGCAGGAAAGGACTCGCCAGGTCAGAGATGCCTGGCGTCTATCGATTCTCTTAGTTAATAAAGAGTTAAATGGTGAAGTGCGGTCTTTTATTTTTATTTTTTTAAAAAGAGGCATTTTGAAGGTGCTGGAGAGGGAAGGCCTGGTACTAAGTGGTCATGTGGCTACCGCCATTCATCTTGGTAGTGACTATCTGTCAAAAGTGGCAAGAGTCCCCGTTAACAGCCCTGACCTGCGCCGTAATGAAGGGAGAGTGCACGGCAGAGTGTCCATTATCAGCAGGTCGGGAGCAGTAAATTGGAGCAGTTTGCTTCAATCTTGCTGCAAGTTGAAATGTAAGATAGGTGGGGATCAGCAAGAGGCAATTTTGTCCTATGATCATTTTTGTCAGATCACATCAGAGTGGCAACTTAGTTCGATGCATGATTTCAATTAACCAAGTCTGGCCGAAATATTTCCCCAGCTTGAGGAAGCTCTTTTCCAACTCTGGGTTCCTCATTATTTATTATTTAGTCTCACCTGAGCACACACAGGTGCAGGAATCCAGGATTAGGAAAAGGGAGAGATGCTTGTGGGTGGCCACAGGTGCCAGCAAACCTGGCCATGGCACAGCAAGGACCAGAGTTTCCTCCTCAGTGGTGGGAAATACCACCAGCCTTATTGACAGATTTTCAAACCCCTCCATCTGTTATTAATGATCTTCAACACTGGATTTTAATAGGCATAAACTTACACATTGTAAGGAACTCGCCTTTTTGGTGGCAGTTTTTAGGGAGGGTTATCTCATGAGACTCGACTCTTCTGTTAAGTCACAGGAAGTTGCTCAGAAAAAAGAAAAAGCAGGGTCACGTGGGAGGCTGAGATTTAACTCTTCAAGGCCTGAGAAGAGTTAACTTGAGGCAAGCAAAAACTTGACTCAGTGATTCTACAAGACACGTGCATGTGTTCACATGTGTTCACGTCCTCTCTGTTTTCAAGAAACTTAGGATTCAGGAGGAGAAATAAAACATGCGTTATTAGCAATAACAAAGGTAGGGAGTGTCATCAGAGGGAAACAAAGCCCTGTAAAGATTAGAGGACAGGACATCACTTTTGGTTGGGGAAGCTGCACACGCATGAAAGTGATAAACACTCCACGTGGGTCTTGATAGTAGGAAGGGTGTTTGTAGGTGAAACTGGAGAAGGGCTGCATTTGTTTTTGTATTGCCTTCTAACAAAATACAGCAAACGTGGCTGCTCACCACACCACTAACTTACTTCCTATGGGTCAGGAGCTGGGTTCCTGGCATCCTCTGCTCAGAACTCAGAAGGCGAAAGGGAGGAGTGAGCCGGTGCTATGAGCTTGCTGGAGGGGGATAGCCTACTCCCCCTCTAAGTTCTCTGGCTGAATCCTGTTGGCTGCATAACATTTCTTGCATTGGAGCACAAGGGCTCCCTTTTTTACTGCCAAGTAGTCCTTGCTGGGAGTTCCCAGCCCCTAGAGGTTACAGGATGTTGCTTGGCATGTGTTTCCTTCATAACATGGGGTTTGCTCCCTGAGACCAGCAGAAGGGAAGATCCTCCAGCTGTAAGGAGCACCCAGTCCTCCCTCCGGGGGGCCCTCTGTCCCAGGCCCCAGGCTAGACCAGTGGCTCGCTAGGTTGGTGACTAAGTCCACCTGGAACTCCTTTTCATTATTCTTCTTTGTCCTAGTCCATGTTTTCTTATTCTATGTTTGTCTTGCTCCTTAGTTTACCAAAGTGTTTGGCTTGCTCCTTAGTTTACCAAAGTGTCAACCTCTGGTAACTTGAAAGAGAGAAACTCAAAGTACACGCTCTGGTTTATTCCATGTCTGTGGAGACTATCCTGACCTTTGATTTGTACCATGATTGAGTACAAAATGTAAACTTAGAGATCGTTTCATTCAGAAGCTTGCAAGTAGTGTATTTCTAGGATTCTATTGCTCATTAGAAGTCTGCTTATATTCTGAATTCAGATCCTTCAGATGTAGTCTCTTTTTCTCTCTTGAAACTTTAGAATTTTTCCCTTATTCCAACTCCTGGGTTGTTCCTCTAGTTTCCTACAAAACTTCTATCCTTTTATGTTTTATTCTAACTTCATAGAATTTTGTGGTGCTTGTTGTTTTTCTCTTCATAATATTTCCCAATTGAAGCTTAAAGCATTTTTGTTGAATTTTATATTATCAAAAACCTTTCTGTTTTTAGTATTTTGTTCTAGAGAAGGAAAAAGGGAAAAAATTATATGTATATAGGCATATATATGTATTTTTATAAATATATAATACATACACTCACACAAGATAAATAGCTATACTATTGGGGCTGGGGATTTAGCTCAGCAGCATAAGCGCCTGCCTTGCAAGCAGGCAGTCCTGAGTTCGATCCCTGGTACCGATAAAAAGGAAAAAGACAAAAAAAAAAAAAAAAAAAAAAAAAAAAAAAAAAAAAGCTATACTATTAATCTCTGTTAGTTCATCCAAAAGAACAGTTTGTACTTTCATTGTTTGATTATTTTTTGTGCCTAAATCTCGTAACCAGAATAACTACTTCTAAGATAACAATATGCAATATACTAATTAGTATTAATTTCCTACTTTTTTGCAATTCTATTCTTTTTTCTCTTTTGCTTTTTTAAAATAAAAAACATATTCTGTTCCTGTTTTATAGGCCTGAGGAATGGCTGTCATCAAGAAATCAATTAATCACAAATGGTGAGGCAGTAGGGAAAAGGGGACCTTCCCTTGTTGATTGGAATAATAACTAGTACAACCACTATGGAAGGCAGTATTAGAGATTCCTCCAAAACTAAAACATTTTCCTGAAAGAATTAAAGACCTCATATTGCAGTGCTATGTGCACACCCATGTTTATAGCAGCCTAATTTACAGTAGTTAAATCTTTGAAATGACCTATCTGCCCATCAACAAATGAATGGATAAAGAAAAGATGGTAGGTATACACCACAGAGCACTGCTCTGTCATACAGAAGGATACACGTGAGTCATTTGTAGGAAAATGGATGCACTTTAAGATCACAATAATAAGTGAAATAAACCAGACACACAAATATTACCTGGTTTTTCTTATATGAGAAACCTAAAACATCAATAAAGAGCAAAGTAAACAGTAGGTAATAGGAAGTAAGGAAACCTTTTTCAAATGAGAAGTGGCACAAAGGTTAGAGGGAGGGGACAGAAAGGGGATGAAAAAGAATGGAAAAAGAAAAAATGAAGATTGAGCTTTTGCAATGGGAGGAGGACCAAGAGAAGGAAGGAGGGGGGGGGTGAAAGACAGGATACAAAAAAATAATTAAGATGTGTGTACCAAACAGACAGTTATGTTACCAATCTCTATTAGTTTATCAAAGAGAACAGTTTGTGCTTCCATTGTCTGATCATTTTTTCATGCCTATATTTTGTGATCTGAGCAGCTACTTTGAAGATAACAATTCGCAATATATTAACCATTGGAATCTTCTATTACTTTGTTTTGAAATTCTGTATCATCAGTTTTATTCTTTTTTGCTTTAAAATGTAAAAAAAAAAAAAGGTGTTTGTACATTTAACAATTCCTCATGATAAATGTCATCCTTATGTACTGCAAACATGTACTAATA